CCGTCGGTCGTCGGCCGATGGAAGAGAGGGGCAGGACGTCCGATATAACGCGAGCGCGCAGAATTTGCACACACACACACACACCAACACTCGCCGTTCCTCCGCGCCGCGCCGGGTCCTGAAGCCGAAGCCTGCCCCCCGCCTTTCCTTCCAGCCGCGCCCCCACACGCACCACTCTGCCCCGCCACGCCGTAACCCTAACCCGAAGCCCCTAACCCTAAGACCCTCACCCTACCATCCTAACCCTGACCCTAAAACCCTACCCCAAAGACCAAGAGACCCTAACCCTAAAACCTCCGAACCTTTAAACCGCACGCTCAACGCCCGAACCCTGACTCTCAAACCCTAATGTTACAACCCTAATCTCAACACCGTAACCCTAAGCCGCAACCCTCACCCCAAAACCCTGAGCCCAACACCCTAACCCAACACCCAAACCCTGACCCTAGAACCCTAGCCTTACAGCCCGAATCCTAACAACATAACCCTAAGCCCTAACCCCAAAACCCTGACCCCTAACCCTGAGACCCTAAGCCCAACACAGCAACCCTGATCTTTCACCCTAACCTTAGACTCTAACCCGAACACCATCACCCTCAGCTCTAGCCCTGCTGAAACCCTAAACCTACGACGCGAAACCTATGACACGAACTCGAAGACCCCAACTCGAACCCTAGAACCTTAATCCTAGTCCTCGCCCGCCTCGCGCGCGTGCTGTTCGGACGTGGGGGTTGTCGGGGGCGGGAATAGGAATTATCTTGCGCGCCCTACGGCGGCTGCGCGACGGCGGCGCCGCGCGCCGCGACGGGGGCTTGAGGCCTGAAATCAAACATACACAGTGTGCCCAAACCAGTGACCGCGATCGATCCAAAAATTCCAACCGAATCCAGCAGCGACGACGGGGACATCGCCGAAGGCCAACCACGACAGAAAAACATCCGAAGAAAACCCCCCGCCGTGTTTTAAATTGAAAGCCAAGAGGACGGGCGTCAACGCCGACGTCGTCGCCGTCGATGACGCCCGTGCTCGCAGAAGGGCGCGTCTGCCCTGAAATTGAAAACTCGGAGCGCTTCTCGACTCCATGCGAGGCTTGAACATGTCAAAATTAGGGCGGCTTGCGTCGTTGTCGTCGTTAGTCGCAGGTGCTCTGTCGGTCGTCGGCCGATGGGAGGGAAGGATAAGCCCGGGCGCCCCCCAACGCGCGGTGGTTTACAAGGGGTCCCCAACAGGCGGATCGGGTCGGGCGGGCGGACCCGAACGGGCGGGTCGGGTCGGGCGGGCGGACCCTAACGGGCGGGTCAAGTCGGGCGGGCGGGACATCGAGCAAGCGTGAACCTGACGCGCGGATTGGGTCGGGCGGGCGGACCCTACCAGGCGGGCGGACCCTAGCGGAGCGGGAGACGTGTATACTAGTGCACTCGTCTTGCCGCGCGGCAGCGCCTGGCAACAAAAAACACAAATGCTGCACTGAACGCCCTCATGTTGAGCACTTCCTTGCCACGCTGTTGGAACGCCTAGCGAAAAACTGCATAATCTCCAACTCGAATCGCCATGTGGCAACGATTTGACAGCAAGAACTGCCACTCCACATATCTCGACTCGAGAACGCAGGGGAGGGAAGTGCATATCGGATCACTCGACTCGCCCCGTGGCCACGCCTGGGAAACGACAGAATTGCTGCACTCAAAGCCCTGATGTTGAAAACTTCCGCGAAGAGCGCGCAGTCTGCAAGGAGTTGGGAGGCCCAACCAACAGCTTCGCCTTAGGCGAAGCCCAGCTCCCGCTCTGTTGTACCGTAGTAACGATAGTCCCACCGGCCGCCTTGAGCCAAGCAGCCGAGGATGCACGCTCGTTCCCACTCACATGCAACGCCCAGCTCACTTTAGAGTCGCGCGCCCGAACACGCTCACAACTATCAATTCTAGAACAAGCCTCCACGACCAAGGCCCTCACATCAAAGAAATGATCCTCGCTCGGCGGGGAAAATTTCCTCGTTTGCCGCCCGCGGTTTTCCCCGTTTGCCCCGAAAGACATTCTCCGTTCGACCCAGAAAAAAGTCTCCGTTCACGCCCCGATGTCCTGGTTCCTCGGTGGATTTCCTGGTTCGCCCTTCGACCCCCGAGATATCCATTTCAAGCCTCAACTCAGCACACCCCTCACGCACGTCGTGCCCCATGGACCCCACATGGTCCTTAGCTGGCCTCCAATACTGGCTAATCCCCCCAGGGACGCAAATACGTCCCCAAGAAACAACACAACGATTGGTACTGACCCTCGTCGAGGCAACACCCCTGACACCCACTTATTGCAAAATCTGCGCGCAAGCTTCCACCTGGGGGCCCGACGTGACTCTCGCTATGCAGGCTCAATTCGGCTGGTTCCCTGCGGGCCCTCGCCGCGTTAAGCTTCGAAATAAGATGATGAGATGAAGGCGAAATACAGGATGCTGATGAGCATGCATACAGGCACGCTCTGAGCGGCCTCGCGCGTTCCGCCGTCC